TTGGGGTTTTGTTGGGGGGGGGGGGGGGGGGGGAAAAATTTATTCAGAAAGCACGAAACAAAACAAGAACTCGTGACTTGACTTTTCATCGTCTATTTACCTAGGAACAAGATCCCAATGGCCAAACTTCCTTCAAATAGTTGTCACTTCGCCACCATTTGAAGCACCCGTGTCCTGTTTGGAATTTGTATATTCTTTAGACAAAATTTTTTTAAAGGAAATATTCAGTCGTGGAAAACCAATAATAAGTTATAAAGTACAAAAATGGAAATTATTATGGATGATTGAATCAATCAAATTTTAAACACACAAAAATAAATTAAGCCCTATTTGGTTCCTATTATTTGATATTATAATTTTTGAAAGTGATTTTTTTTTTAAATAATACGTGGTTAAAAAATAAGAAAAGTTTTCAATTTACGTATAATATTATTTTATAGAAGATTGTATGATTGAAAATAAGAGAAAAAATATAATGTGAAATAACGTGAGGCCAAACCACGGCTGAATCGTAATAACTGATTTAAAGAAGAGTAAACTCTTTTTGAGCCTAATGCTAGCACCACTATGTAGATTGCATTAGGGAAGAATACATAATTCAGGTCTTAACTTTACCCGAATTCAATTTTAAGAGAAAATATTTAAAAATTTAAAAATCGGATAATAATTAATAAATATAATATATTATATAGCTAATAAATATCATCAATCCTCGATCTCAACCCACTTCAATCTCTCTCCAATTTCTCTCTACAAACTTGCCCAACCACAATCACCTACATTTACCCGCCACCATCCTCTCTCACACCACAATGAAGGTACAAATCAAGATAAAGGTGTATAATTCGAGATCCATGAGAACAATATCTCAAAGGTAACAACTTGTTTGGATTTTTAATTTAGCAAAATATTGAGGAGAATTGAAGGATTATCTAATCAAACTTCAATTTGGACAATCGAGTATCTCCATAATGATTCAAGGAATGAGATTTTTGGTGATATGGTTTAATCTACAATAGAGAACTAGTTCATTGATGGAGTGAAAATTTGATTCTAATGTTTGACTTATCATCAGATTTAGTGTAAATTTGTTTTTTTTTTTTTTTTTATTTAAACTATTACCTGTGATGTTAGGCTTGTGAACAGTTTTCTTATATCTGTGACCTTTGGACATTGATCCGTCATCTGTAATATTGATCAATTAGCCAGTGATCAATTCTTTTGGATCCATGACCTGTAGACATTGATCTCTTACCTATGTTAAATGACTTGTGACCTGTGATTTGTGAATTGTTACTTATGACTTGAATCTATGACCTGATATCAATGCACAAAAATATCTGACATGTAATTTGTGACAAGTTAATATTGAATTGTGGCTTGTTGACATCGATATGTAACATATACAATATGACCAGTGACCTATGACTTGTAAATTGTGACCTATGAACAATATATATATATATATAATACATGTATAAGAAACCTATGACTTGTGAACTACTCACAAACTTTTAAAGTTTGTGACCCGACCTTTTAAACTTTTAAAGTTTTGCACATTGACACGTAACCCGTGAAGTATGACTTGTTAACTGTAATATATTGCATGTGAATATAAATAAGTGATATGTGACCAATTTTATTTTATTTGTGACCCGTGGACATTAACCTATGATCCATTCACCACGAAATTGTTAGTCACTATTATAAATTTAGTCACGATCTCACATTTCTAAGGTCACATTTGGTTACAATTATGTATTTTATTGTTCACATATTATTTACATGATGACAAATTAACCCAATTTATCAGTGACACTCAACTAAATTAGTCACAAACCCTCTTTATACAAACTCAACCACAACCCAATCCAAACCCAGCACCACAACCACCACACCCATCGAAAATTCCCAGCTACCATCTCCAACACACCTAAACCCCCCACCAAAAAATTCCCAAATTCATTGCCACCACCACAAACTCAATTTGAAGCTGCCAATTTCCTCGCTCCAAAACTCGAAACCTTCGGACAGTCACCTGAGAAAATCGATGAGGAAATAGCTAAGGAAATTGCAAAGGACTGGAAGGGCTTTCTTGTCATTGTTAAACTGAATGTCCAGAACCGCAGGCCAAGGTCACGGTTGTCCCCTCCGTAACCTCCTTCGCAATAAAGGCCTTCAAAGAGCCCGAACGTGAATGCAACAAAATGAAGAACATCAAGCACAATGAAAATATTTTCGAAACAGCAAGGCATCGCATTGTGTGAAATAAAGTGCCACTGCGCACAATGGTACAATGCCGCATGCAGCAAGGCGATGCTGCTCAAGGGTAGATTTTGAGCAACACTGCTGGATAGATAGGGCAGGGGGCTGTAGCTGTCGTTGGAACGAGTGCGTAGAGAGGGTAGAGAGAGAAGCGAGATACAAAGAGAAATGAGGCAGGGAAATAAAGCTGTTTGGGAGTGAATTGGGGTTGGGTGGGGATTAATTTAATTTAAAGTTATTATTATAAATAATTAAAAGATAAATTGCCACCTGATATTTGAACAGAAAACTTTTAAACTATCTCAGTTCAAAAATCTGCTTCCACGTAATTTTCCCATTTCATTATTCTTGATTTATTGCTGTGATTGTAAGCATTAAACTTTCAAAAAAATCTAATAATCAAAGGTGAACTTTAACTCTTATATGCTGCTCCAATTTTTCTGGAATTTCCTTTAAATGGTTCTTCAACTCTTGTTATTAAATCTACAATTACATTAACCATTAAACATTTTTAAAAAATGAAAATGATTTCTAACTTAGTAGTTGAATATAGTTTCAGCATGAATAGAAAATCAACAAACTTATACAACAGACCAAAAAACAAAAAAAGAATGAAACTGGCAGATCAGTCAAGACAAATGTATGGCCATACGAATCAAACTTCGACAGCCAACAGAGATGGAAAGGATATGCAGCAGAATCAATCACAGAATTGTTTCTCAATGCTACATGAAACAATAGCACTGGCAACATAAACCTGGAAAAAGAAGAAAACAGAGAAATTCATAACATTTGACTCGGCATAGACTTCACGAACAAGTTTCTTAACTTAAAAAGTTCGAAGCAGAGAACAGCATTAGTACTTGGAGGCATTGCCTATCCAACTCAACATAATGTGAAACACAGTTAACCAAAGTTAAGCCTCAGAAACGATCCTGCTCTACAAGCTAAAAGGACAAACCATAATTATCCCTTGCAGGTGAGCTGAGATGCGAAGGAAAAAAACAAAAACATAAATTCCACAAAGTAGGGGTATCTATTTATGTATGTATTTATAGAGAGTGCTTGATCAGAAGATTAGTTCAAGAGCAACTCGACAAGCACTTCAGTGCAGGGATTGACGAGGTGATCGTGGTCGAACAGGGGTCTTCGACGGGCTAACCCTGCAAAAATGTAAATGATTAAGAGATTAGGCACTTTATGTTAAGATAAGTCAAACCATGAAATTAGACGCTCCTAGAGACTTAATTTTAACTTTCCGAAATAGAGACTGATTCAATGCTACTACCTAAATTATTCATATATAATACTGAATATTTTAGCCATTAAAATCTAGAAAATATATATTAATTGAAAAATAAGGGAAAATAATAAATGATTGTTGGAATAAGTAATTTTTTCAGTAAAAAATAATAAGTTTTTCGGAATTTATAAAATTTTACTCTTTAAAGATGTTCTCTATTATGACCAAGATGCTCCTTAAAAATAGTCTCTTGAAGATGCGCCAAGAGAACTATAAAGTGAACAAATGGGGATAAATAGAGGGAATCAACCTTATTGGCAGTGATCCTAAGACTGCACCACTACAATTAAGAGCTGCAATGGCACTCTCAGCCTGCAAACGAGAATACATAAAAATTAATACTGAAATGATTTGAATTATATGTCCATAAAAATGAAGGGACTCCACCCCCACCTCCCAAGAAGAAAGAAAAGAATAGGGCATCCAAGTTAAGGGTGAAGATTTTGACATAATGGTGATTTATAATAACAGCTTGATTATCACCCAAAGGGAGAAGGGTTGTATGATGTAGATGGCATAAGAGTTATGAAGCAAACTTGCTTTAGATAGAATAGGATCTGAAGTTCAGTTGACAACCAAGAATATTAACCACGTGATGTGGGCCGTAAATTGGAAGTGCTCCAGAAATTACTATTACTAGTTCAATTTGAAACTAAATAGCATAGATTTATAAATGTTTTGGCAAGGCATTGACATTAGTAAGAAAAATATAAAATATGGAGTCGCAATAAAGGTTTTATTATAAACCAAAAATGAATCAAATATAAATATGGAAGCAAAATTCCAGCTGATTATGGATCCTATCTGCATGCCACAAACTAAAAAGGAAAAGACGCAGATAAAATGGTTAGCTGCATTACGCCGGGGGGGGGGGGGTTTGATCTTGCGCAATTGAAGAAATGGTTTTCATAAAATGCAACGAGCACATGAACAAGAATCTAACTTCAGTCCATCATTGTGACAGGAGAAGCCTATAGTGATGCTCGAGCGCTAATAGCAAATACAACATGTAAGTGGTTGCTTTTGCAATTCAAGTCCTACAATCATGCTTCAATAGTGTAGCTGCAGGACATGGGCTTGTTACTGCATGGCTGGACCTCAAAATGTCATTTCACACGCACTATGCAAAATGCAAGATTTCCTTTAATAAATATGAAAATTTCCATGATTGTGGATCAGAACCAACAAAGAACAAGAAGTCAGGAATTACAATGTCTTCAAGAAATAGAAAAGGATAACCGGCATAACATTTGTCCTTTCACCAGACATTAAGCCCTTGCTTGAACACCATTTTTCAATAATGCATTTTTCTCCAAATTCATTTTCAATCATATATTCTCTTAATAACATAATTATTACACGCAAACATTCAATCAGACATTCCCCTGTAAAACAATTTTACAAGTTAAGCCAAAAAATTTTCTTACTATTTAAACACACATTCTCCAACAAAACACTGTTCTAAAATGTATTTTGGCCCAAAAATGAAGCTCAAAAAAGGGCTAAATGTCTTGTAAGTTCAAGCACTAAACATGTGTGTGTTATAATTAAACCCTAATGTAAAAATTCATATTTGGTAGGTCTTCAATACACACCACCACAACAAGCAAACACATTGGTACATAAGCCCTTACTTTTAGCTGATACAGGAAGAGACTTTAAATCCAGAAAAAGAGAAATGCAAAGTGAACCCCTGTTTGACAAACATTAAAAAATGTTTTTTTGGAGAAAATGATTTTAGAATAGTGAATTTTTGAATAAGGTTGGGTTAAAAAGTAGGAAAAAATTTGAGTTTCTGTGCAAAATATTTTATTGTGTGAATGTATAGTTGAAAATGAATTTGAGAAAAAAAGAATTTTGAAAAAATGGAAGACAAACAAAGGCTGAATAGCACAACATGCCCTTAAAACAGAAGCTAGAATTAAAATGGTATCGTTAGACAGATAAATCTGCAAAACTCCATTCCAAACCAATCAGAGTTTTCCATAAAAAATCTCTTGCGGCCTTTTCCAAAAAGAGACAAAAGTATTATTTCCAACAGTGAATGCTTTAAGGTGTTTGTTTGCACCCTTCACACCAACACTAATCACAAGGTAAGATATGCCAAGCAAAACTTTTTTCAAATGTCTAAGAGCATATCAAAAAGTAAAACTTTTCTTCTCCAACACTCTCATTAGTCAGAACAGTCAACTTCAACTGAGCAATTTTCATTTGCACAACATATAGAGACAGACCAAAAGATGATGAAGGATATGTAAGAACAAAAAGAATTCAAGTTATTAAAGGAGACAAAGGTAATCAGCTGAAGTAAGACACTAAAAAGGACTATGTTTCATACAATCACGGAAATGGAAAATATAGAAGTTTTTGTCAGTGGATGCGGAAGGTTGAACATTATAATAAAGGCAAGACATGAATGACAGATAAATGCAATTTTGCCTAATGTTAACCTTTAGTTAGAAAGACAAGTTACTGAACGAATTTCATTTGACAAACGTAGCTTGTGAAAAGCGCTTAAAGCTAGTACAATAAATGATGTATATACATGGGGAAAGCCGTGTGCAATGGAAAATGCAAGCACAGCTTGGTCAAGAGTTCAGATCCTGTCGCAATATCTTTTTTTTTTTTTTTTTATCAAAAGGGGAACACTAACTTTGAGATGATTTCATTTTTAGTCATGCATAAATGCGTGAGAAGCCTGTGGTTCTTACCATTACAAACTCTACAAAAGCTATACGAGTCGTATGCTGATAGTCACCAAGCAATCTCAAGCGGTGAACCTAGGTCAGAGAATGCACTTGATCAAATGGGATTGGCAAATTACAAAAAACAGGTAACAAGACTAATTATACAAGCAGCTACAAACCTCTCCACAAATAGATTCAAAGAAGAGTTTGACGTCCGCTTGTGTAACCTGCATCAAGCAAATACTCATGCAAGTGTGACACAATTGACAACATGCCAAAGGCTTGTGAATTCCAGAGCTACCTTCTTATCAATGTTTGTACAGTAAATAGTTCTAGCACACATTTCTCTTTCATCCTCCGACTGTCAAAAAAAAAAAAAGAAGACATTAGATTTCTATTACTTTAACTGATTCAAGTTATAACACTTGTCCAAAGTAATTAAAGATTGCCACAAGTTTCTCACCCTTGGCAAGAATGTTGGATTCACAGGTGCAATTGCAGTTTTCGAAGGCAGCACTCTCACTGGATAATATCCCAACATAGTTCCCGCCAAACTCAAAGCATTCCTTGCCCCTTCTGTAAGCAATTTGATATGCAATGCAATATAATATGATCCCAGGTTTTCACCAAATTGCATAACCAAATAAAAAGATTGTTGACATACCTTCATCAGTGAATTCAACAAAGGCAAAACGAAGTACAGAATTAGGATCCCCACAAACCCGACAATCCACTACCTTCAGCGAGATTAGTGTGGAAAACATATTTAGAACAATTAAGTTATAAATAAAGTGTTTATTCTATCACTGAGACGGAATAGTGACACATTTTACCTGCCCACAATGAATGAATAATGCTGCAAGTTGCTCTTCAGTAACCTATATTCATAAGAAGAAAGATAAACAGAGTTTGATATCATTTGCCCTAAAAGAATGAATCAAGAATCTGAAATAACACAAGCCTGAACACCTAAATTCTCTTTACCTGATGATCAATGTCAGAAACATACACTGTCCTCTTAATTACATCTTCTCTCTGTGCCATGCTTGTTCTGTTATTAGTCCTCCGCTTCCCATGGCCATAGCCATTTTTCTTCTGTATATCAAATGTCCCAGAAGCGCAATCAAGAAAACTAAATACTGTACTTAAATCATATAACTAATGCTAACAAAACTACATGGAAAAAGAATTTAACTGGTAATATAGCTGCCTTAAAAGAAAAAGAATAAAAAATACCAGAAGTACTGATCATGATATCCAAACAATCCAAGTAGTATTAAATTAAAGCTTACCATAATCTTCTGTCAAATATTCCTCATCCCGTTCTTTATATATCCGCATATTTTTTAAGAAAATAGACAATAATCCATAAATAATAATACTCAACAAAAGAGGATTTTACTTCGAAAAACTGAGAAAATAATATCAGATAAAATACCAACCCTTCTAAAGGAATTCCCGTTTTGAACTCCTGAGTTAACAGGTTGCTGCATTACAAAACCGTTAGCATTATACCCGAAGAACCCAGCGGCCGCCTCATGTGGTGAGGCTATCATCAGTCTGTGGTGGCCACCGGCGCCGTTCGCAGCCAGTGATGGCGGCACAAATTCCTCTGCCAAGGGATTCAATTTAGATAGCATTTCCGCTAAATCCCTCATCTCTCTCTTAAACCCCTCTTCTCCATCATTTCCACTATTCATATTCTTCCCTGCCGGATTACTGTTAAGAAGAGCGTTCGAGACTCCATCTCCATTTGCTCTATGCAGCTGATGTTGATGGCTGTTGGACTGTATCAGGTGATAACCACTATCGGTGGGTTTCGTTGACTTCAGATTAGCAGTGGTCTTTGTAAACTGCGGGTGGATATGATCCACGGAGGTAATCTCCGGCGGGGCATTCGAGTCGGTCTGATTTGATGATGTCACGACGCTAATCCCAGCATTCTCCACCACCGCCATGATCAAGACCCCGCGCAAACTTCGCCAACAATTTTTTACTCTTTTTTCTTTAAATTTCTGATATGGGGTCTATGAAAAAAAGAAAGAAAAAAGATTTACACTTGCAGATCGAAGCAGGGAATATTTCTTAATGTTTTTTGGGGAAAAAATGGAGATTTACCTGATGGATAGAGTGTTAGACGGTGTCCATTGAGCAAAGAACTCGAAGGTCAAGAGTGCTGCTAAGAAAATGGAAGATTCGAAAAATAAATAAATAAAAGGACTAAAAACAAGAACAGGCAAGAATTTTTCTCCTTTTTCGTTTATATTTCTTGTTTATATTTTACCTACACCGCTAACAGAGACAAAAGAAACAGTAGAGAGCGTAATATAGTGCAGAGAGAGAGAGAGAGAGAGGATCGTCCGTTTCGGCCACTCGATGATGCGAGAGTCCTTTTTGTTCGTTGGACTTTATTCACAGTACCCGAAAATGATGAAAACAGTGGCGATGAGGGTGGGCCCTACCATAACTCTTTTTTTTTTTTCTTTTTTTTTGCACCCACTTTCTTTTATTTCTTTATTATTATTATTTTTTTGATAATCCAGGTGTTTAAACTTCGCGTGACTAATCCTGAGGAGTGACGACCTTCCTTTCGATTCGCCACCCAATTTCTGTATGTATTTATGATGGTTCATTGCATTTTATCTCAAGGACTTTGTTACATTTTCATTAACGAAAGATGCTACAGATCCGAGGTAGAAAATAGGGTAAAAAAATAGGGACGTCACATGTCGACAAACAATTAAATAGTTTGAAATTTTTTTTAAAATACATCTAATCAAAAACATTCAAATTAGCATGTTTTCTTACTTCATGTCTTCAACCTTGTTCAAGGAGTTTAATTGTTTCATTAGCATACAAATGTCATGTCTTGTTTGCTCATTCATAATTTCATATATCAAAGCTCGAAAGGTGAGTATGACATGTAATACCAACAAGCACGAGGATTACTAAAATTAACTTCATTTTCTTTGTTAATAGTAATACAATACAATCAAGAATTATGTGTATCTTATTAAACGTATAATATATTGTATATATTATACCAATATTGAAATTAATAAATGCTACAAAATGTAATGGTGCATTTTATTAACTGTTTTCAAGCCATTTTCGATTTTCAATTTTGCAAAACCTTAAAAATGTATTTGGTCGTTATTTTTTACAAATACATTTTTGAAAATAAAAATAAATTTATAACAAAAAACGTATTTTTGACATTTTGAGTGTTTTTGGTGAAAATCTTGAAAATGCTCAAAACATGGAAAACAAGAGTTTAAATAAAACTTTATTTAAAATAAAATTTTATGTAAATAAATTTTTTAAAAAGTAAAATAAAAAATTCTAACGAATAAAATTTAAAAATTATTAAAAAATAAAATTCTAAAAGGTAAATTCAAATAAAATTAATACATGTAAAAATAAAAACTTGAAAAAATAAAATTCTAAAAATTAAAAATTAAAATTATGAAAAATAAAGATTATAAAAACTTTTAGAGAAATAGTAATTATAAAAATAAAAATAAAAATAGTCCAGTTCTTAATAATTATTTACATAAATTTTTAAAAAATATATTTAAATGAACACAAACAAAAATATTTTAAATTCACGCATTAGTTTTTATTTTTATTCATATATTTTAATACTAATTTATTATTTTTTTCTTTTAGTGAGACTGTGAGAGAAAAATATTATAAGATTCACCAACTTTAAAATATATATAATAATTGATAATATAAAATTATTGTAAAATACTGAATAATCAAATGTAATGGAATGGTAATAATTTTTTTTTTTTCAAATTTTCAAACCAAAAGTGTTTTATAATTTTGTTTTAAGAAATAATTTTTCAAATGACAAACCAAATATGTTCTTAAAAATCTTAAAATAGACATTAAAAACAAAAAATAAAAAATGAACTCAAAACCTAAAACTGAAAATCGAAACACAAATCGAACGGGCCCTAACTAACTCCCATCAACATCCAAGAACAAAATTTATATCAAAGCCTACGCAATGAAATGCTTGGCTAGCTTAACAAGGTGGTCGAGCTAGGAGGTTGATTATTGTACTGACTCAGATTAATTTTTTGAAATTCTTTTCTTGTATATAATTGCATGAAATGAAAAGAAATTGAGTTTAGTTGGTTTAAGAGACCGTCATGTATTTGATTCCTTTAAATTAGAAATGAGCATTTTTTCCCAAAATCAAACCAGAACTAGATAAAACCATCGATTTGGCTCTGGTTCCTCTAATAAGTGGGTCAATTTTGTGACCATGCATTGAGAATCGGTCATTTTTAATTCAAGTCTAAGTGCTGCATTGAGAACTAATAGTAGATTCGGTTATCATGAATTTTTCTTTTGTTGGTGCATTGCACTAAGATGTACCAACCTTTTGAACACTAAGATGCACCAACTTTTTGAAACACGCTTCTTCATTCCTTTGCAGCAAAAGCCGTGGGTGATATAAATCTAAATCTAAATAATTCTATATACATTTTGAAAATGTAGAACTTTAATGCAACTCTACTGGAAAAAAAAAATTTATTTTTAGTTCAACCCTTCATAAGAATTTAATTGGCCTCTTATACATTCAAAGGCATTTACACATGAAAGAATCTTCTTAATACTGTAATGCCCTAAGTTTTAGGATTTGGATCTGTTACAAAAACGTGCTTCATAAGTTTTCGAAATTCGAGTTAAATTAAAATTTTCTTTCTTTCATTTTTATTTCATAAATTACCCTTACATTTTAGTACAAGTTTCTAGTGGAAACAAATATGTTAAGCTAGTTAGCTTAGTTTGTTGAAGAAGCGGAATAAAGTGAATGATAGAAATCGAAATTAGGTTACGTTAATGATGTTCAACCTCGCAACGCACTATATAACGATCAAGTTCAGTTGAACCATTTTTTGGGTTCAAAATTTTAATGAAATTTTTACTTTATTTTCTGAACTCATTCAAGTATGATGTAGGAAAATTTCATAACTTCTTAAAATCATTTAGGCATACATTTGAACACTCAATCACATGCTAAAAGCTATTCTCGAGTTCGCCAAATATAACACACAGAAAAAGGCATAAATTATCTTAACAACCTCTAAATGTCTTGATTTCAAAGTCAATGGACAAATGACGGATAGGGCTTTCAAACCTCGCCTGTCTCATCAAAACTTTACGGATGCCAATTCGAGGTGACAATTTAAAAATCAGACAACAGTTGAAATTTCTACTTTTCGTGTTTACATGTCGAAATCCACACATTCTATCACATTTTCATACCAGAATTTATGCTAACATGACATAATAACATAATTTAATAAACTCCAAATCATAAATTTATATGAAAATATAATTTCATGCATGTAATACCAACAAGCACGAGGATTACTAAAATTAACTTCATTTTCTTTGTTAATAGTAATACAATACAATCAAGAATTATGAGTATCTTATTAAAAGTATAACATATTGTATATATTATACCAATATTGAAATTAATAAATGCTACAAAATGTAATGGTGCATTTTATTAACTGTTTTCAAGCCATTTTCGATTTTCAATTTTGCAAAACCCTAAAAATGTATTTGGCCTGTTATTTTTTAAAAATACATTTTTGAAAATAAAAATAAATTTATAACAAAAAACGTATTTTTGACATTTTGAGTGTTTTTGGTGAAAATCTTGAAAATGCTCAAAACATGGAAAACAAGAGTTTAAATAAAAATTTATTTAAAATAAAATTTTATGTAAATAAAATTTTAAAAAACTAAAATAAAAAATTCTAACAAATAAAATTTTAAATTATTAAAAAATAAAATTCAAAAAGGTAAATTCAAATAAAATTAATACATGTAAAAATAAAAACTTGAAAAAGTAAAATTCTAAAAATTAAAATTATGAAAAATAAAGATTATAAAAACTTTTAGAGAAATAGTAATTATAAAAATAAAAAATAAAAATAGTTTAGTTCTTAATAATTATTTACATAAATTTTTTAAAAAAATATTTAAATGAACATAGACAAAAATATTTTAAATTCACGCATTAGGTTTTATTTTTATTCATATATTTTAATACTAATTTATTACTTTTGATTTGATTTTCTTCTCCTTGACTTCTCTACAATCCATGCAATCTCGATATCCAAGACCTTTTTCTCAATCTGAAAAATAACTTAAAGTACCGTATAATTTCTTAGGTATAATCCCTTTGAACAAATATGCATATTTACATATAAAACCAGAGACATTTCACCTAGGTGGATTCCTGGTAGAGTCCTTGATTTTGAAAAATCCCTTAGGATTGTAGAAAATTGATTATAGCCATAAAACTTTAATCTGTATGATTTATAATTTGCAATTACATTTATACACATAAAATTAATTTTTACTACTTACCTCGATTCTTAGTATGAAAATAAAAAATCCTTTGTCTTGAATAACAAAACTTGTAGTAACAAAATCTTTATTTTTTTTTTATTGTTAATAAGTTAAAACTAACACAATCTGAGAGAAACGAAAAAGAAATTCAAATTTAAAGAGAGATCAGGTTTAATGGAATGGTAATAATTTTTTTTTTTCAAATTTTCAAACCAAAAGTGTTTTATAATTTTGTTTTAAGAAATAATTTTTCAAATGACAAACCAAATATGTTCTTAAAAATCTTAAAATAGACATTAAAAACAAAAAATAAAAAATGAATTCAAAACCTAAAACTGAAAATCGAAACACAAATCGAACGGGCCCTAACTAACTCCCATCAACATCCAAGAACAAAATTTATATCAAAGCCTACGCAATGAAATGCTTGGCTAGCTCAACAAGGTGGTCGAGCTAGGAGGTTGATTATTGTACTGACTCAGATTAATTTTTTGAAATTCTTTTCTTGTATATAATTGCATGAAATGAAAAGAAATTGAGTTTAGCTAGTTTAAGAGACTGTCATGTATTTGATTCCTTTAAATTAGAAATGAGCATTTTTTTCCCAAAAATCAAACCAGAACTAGATAAAACCATCGATCTGGCTCTGGTTCCTCTAATAAGTGGGTCAATTTTGTGACCATGCATTGAGAATCGTAATTCAACTCTAAGTGCTGCATTGAGAACTAATAGTAGATTTGGTTATCATGAATTTTTCTTTTGTTGGTGCATTGCACTAAGATGTACCAACCTTTTGAACACTAAGATGCACCAACTTTTTGAAACACGCTTCTTCATTCCTTTGCAGCAAAAGTTGGTGGGTGATATAAATCTAAATCTAAATAATTCTATATACATTTTAAAAATTTATAACTTTAATGCAACTCTACTGGAAAAAATATATATTTTTTTAGTTCAACCCTTCAAAAGAATTTAATTGGCCTCTTATACATTCAAAGGCATTTACACATGAAAGAATCT